TACACGGGCCTCTCACCGTTGTGGCCTCTCCCGTTGTGGAGCACAGGCTCCGGATGCGCAGGCTCAGCGGCCATGGCTGACGGGCCCAGCTGCTCCGCGGCATGTGGGATCTTCCCGGACCGGGGCACGAACCCGTGTCCCCTGCATTGGCAGGTGGACTCTCAACCGCTGCACCACCAGGGAAGCCCTCACAGTCTGTCTTTAACTGAAAACATTTCATGCAATTTTTATAGTTCCCACGTGCAGCCTAAGCCCTGGCATAATCTGATCTATGTGTTTTTATGAAGTGTATATATAGAATAAAAGGCATCTCAAATGACTGGATTGACAAAACTGTAAAATATAAGGTAAGGGACAAATCATCAATATTTAAGATGTATATACCAGTGGAAATTTGAAAGAATAAGAACTCGATTTAAAAAGGCAGCAGTTATCCGTATCAAAAGAAAATTATTTTATGTGCAATGGACTCTCTTCCTTTTAGAAGACTAACTTAAGATTGACCAAAATAACTTCACTTTCATGAAGCTTTCCAGTCTTCTTTTAAAGTTATTCAGAAAAATCAGAAGCCTTTAAAAATAATGTAAGTCAAAACTATATTTCATAAACCAAGGAAAACATACAATTTTAAAACATTAGAAAAGCAGGAGATTACATCTCCTTTAGAGATCTAGGGTAATGTGAGGCTAATGGTACAGATACTCAAACCAGAGTTCACTGCTATCTCCTCTTTTTTTTTAAGGTGTGAAAAATTGGAATGCAATTCAAAATAACCCATGGAGAGAGGATAATGTTAGAATTAACAATACTCATTAATATTATTTATTAGTTTCATTATAGTGTGATTTACTAATTAACAGAGAGATAATAGTTGACATTTCCTAAATTCTCATTCCTTGGAGAATTAGCTGACTCATCATTATTTCTATTTTATCTTTCATGCCTTTGTGAAAAGGCACACATTCTTTATGTGAAGGCTATTATTTTCCACTTATCTGTTCTTTTCCGGTTTAAGCGATTTATATTTGACATGCATAAATAGTTTTCAAGTTCACCTAAGCATCACATCCTCCAAATTATAAAAGACATAAAATACAACTTAAACATTCTACCATATACAATTCGGAGAGAAGCACAAAAGAGATACTTAGGTAAATGTTTCTAAGAACACAGTAGGTAATTTTCTTCATGTTCTTTATGCTACCAGTAGTTGACCAATGAGTCCGGAATTTCTTTCTTTGATTAAGGCAGCAATAATGGTGGCACCATGCCTTAAACTTTCCTGTAGCTTCTGTTCATCCTGAAAGAAAAGATAAAACAATAATTATTTTAGAAAGAAAAGGTATCAACACATTAAATTTAATAAGGACCTACTTTTCTTTTTAAAAAAAATTTATTTTTGAAAAACTTTATAAACATAAATACATTGTATAAGTTTAAGGTGTACAATGTGATGATGTGATATACATACATACAGCAAAATTATTACTAAAGTAGGGTTAGTTATCACACCCATCATCTCATATAGTTACCATTTTTTGGAAGGGGGGTGAGAACGTTTAAGATCTACTCTCTCAGGAACTTTGAAGTATACAATACAGTACTGTTAACTATAGTCACCATCTGTACATTAAATTCTCAGAACTTACCCATCTTATAAATGGAAGTTTGTATCCTTTGACCAACATCTCCCCATTTCCTCTACTCCTTAGCCCCTGGCAACCACAATCACAGACTCTGTTTCTATGTGTTCAAGGAGACACTTTGCAAGGCTTGCTATTCTTTGGGCTCAGCACTGCACAGAACTCAGACCACAGCCATTGTCCCAAATAAAGGAGAAACGCTTTTATAAGCACTTTCAGTATAGAAAAAATATCTGCTGAAAGTACCAAAAGAAGCAATGACACAATTTCAAAAGCTAATAATATGAAACAAAAGATTATTTTCCCTTAATCCAATACTGAAGACCAACTTTGGCTCTTCACTTAAGTGTGAATATTTCTTTGATGATACAAGCCTTCTCTTCACCTTTTTCTTTTTCCTGAGGGTTCTTCAACAACAGACTTTGTTATAAACTGTGAGTACTGGTGTGGAGGAAGAAAACAAAACAAAAAACCTGCTTGTTTTTGAAGTAAAGATCAGGCAGATTTGTGAAAAGAGTTATTTCACAAGTTGCTAAAATGTGATTTTCCCTTTGAAATCATATTTCCCTATGAAATTCTGTTTTTTCTAATTATTTAGGCTTCTTGAAGGTATGAGGGGATGATAATATGAAGGGAAAATGAAAGAGGAAACAGTTAATATGTTAAATCCTTGGGTTATGAATTGTGCTAGGTTTAAAAAGAGGGATCTGGTAACCAATTTCTACACTTCGGCATCGTCCGTAATGCCTTATCCCAACATTCAGTACATCACTGGGACCCATTGTTTCTACCTCCTTAACGTTTCTTGAATCCATATACTCCACTCAAACCGCCACTGCCAGCATAATACCTCTGGCCCTGAATTACCAAAACAATCTCATAGTCTCTCTGAAGTCTGTCCTCTTCTATCCTATTTCCCACACAGCAATGAAAATACTGATTTTAAATAATAAAAATCTGATCACATCATTATCCTGCATAAAATCTTTTGAAGGCTATATTTAAACTTCAGGATCAAGTATTAACCCTTTACCTGGAAGGTCTTTTATCCTTCCAGCCTCTTCTTACCATTCCCTTAAAATCACTCAGTTCTCCAAGCCATGTAGAACTGTTTAAGATTGCCCAATCTGGGCTTCCCTGGTGGCGCAGTGGTTGAGAGTCCGCCTGTCGATGCAGGGGACACGGGTTCGTGCCCCGGTCCGGGAGGATCCCATATGCCATGGAGCGGCTGGGCCCGTGAGCCATGGCCGCTGAGCCTGCACGTCCGGAGCCTGTGCTCCACGATGGGAGAGGCCACAGCAGTGAGAGGCCCGCGTACTGCCCCCCCCCAAAAAAAGATTGCCCAATCAAGCCATTTTTCAAGGTTTCATCCCTTTGCACCAGCTAAATCCCTTTGCCAGAAAAGCTGTCTCACTCCCTCTCCTGGCCTAGCTTACCCTAGTTACTCTGAGGTTCAACTCAGTTATCAGTGACTCCTGAAATCTCCCTTGACTGCTGTTCTTCAACCCAATTTGAGTGAGGTGAATCTATACGCTTCCATAGCTATGAATTCCTCTAGCACACTGAATTCTTATAGTCTTTTTAGCTGGCCATCTATTCCACCAGATGATCAGTTTCTTGATGTAGAGAATATTTTACCTTTGAATATAAAAAACTTAGTTCAATGCCTAACACATGGTTGCCCTCCATATATTATAACAAATTCAAAGCAAAGGAGGGTTGACAATGATAGACATATGTTCACCCTTTCAGTCTGACTCATTTGTTAACAATGACCACTATTTGGTTACTTTGTTTACTCCTATTTACATATTTAGCCAGAAGTCTGGCAACAGTACAGAGAAGAATATTATCTTATCGAAGCCTTCCCACTACCACCACGCCTCCACTAGCCCAGGCCTGGGTTTCTCATCTATGATGATGGTAGTAAGAGATCACCTCTGCTTAAACTATTCTTTCCTGTCAGTTTCCCTGATTGTGTTCCAAGAGGTGGAACTGGGGAAGATGCACAGGGGCTGTATGGTGGCTACTTTGCCTCTCGTGAGTGAGTTTTAATGACATTTCAATAATGGATTTCAAATGCTGTACCGGTTTCCAGAATATCAAATCACATTAGCTAATCATTTAAAAGCCAAATATGCTTGAGCTTAAAATGTGATTCACTTAGATAGGAGCAGATATCATTCATGACACACCATTTATAAATACAGAAATAGTATTCTAAAACTGAATAAAACACAAACCAACTATAGGTATGTATTTGTCACTCAATAATTAATTAATTACAATGTTGCAGGGTATGATACACATCTACTCCCAAGTCTCATTAAAATGAGACATACAACAGATGATGATAATTAAGGTTTCCCATTCAAAAATAAACAGAAAAAGGCTATCTGTATAACCTCTTTGAAACCAGTTTACACTTATAATGAAAGCAGCATGGTAACAAAGAAATGAAGGGGGAAAACCTGTTTAAGATCCTAGGGCTAGAAAAATCACTTTTCTCTATCTTGGAATAAATCTTCCATGCTCATTTTGATTACTCCACAACTTACATATCTTTAGCTACTAACAAATTTAAGTAAGATTGTTCTTTTAAAGATTACTTTGGCAATTTTTTATAGGCATCATTTGGAAAGACTCGAATTCAGTGAGAAGAACCTATGTTATTCCACTAAATATTTGTTTTCCCTCTCTGCCTGACCTCAATCATTCCATCTTTGAAAAATATGGGATTTTAAGAGCTGATTTAAACAAGATGGTGAGACAAACATATACTAAGAAAATTCTAGTATGTACAAAAATTAGACAAATAATGTATGGATTTCAAACTCATTTCAAAATTCCATACCTCTATAAAAGTATTGATAACGTAAGTAAAAAATGCAAGGAAATAAATCTTTAAAAAGCATTTCCTGCTGAAAGTGGATTTGCAAAACAGTGTTTTCAATCCTTGATGGAGATAGGGAGTGGAGGGGCATTCCAGGTGGTCGTTTTATTATCAATCATCTATATTTATGCACATGTATATGCATACATTCCTTTCTGTGCTCCAAATATTATATAATAAAAATGTTTAGTGTTAAAACTACGTAAGCAAGGTCAACATGAACACTGAAAAATCACGTTGATGGTATGCACTCTTGATATGCTATCATGAAATGATATTGACCTCTGTGGTCTCCCTCCTCAAAACCCATAACGCCAGTCTAGTCATGAGAAAAAACATCAGACAAACTCCAATAGAGGGACATACTACAATATATCTGACCAGCACTCCTCAAAATTATCAAGTTCATAAAAAAACAAGGTTACTCTGAGAAGCTGTCACAGCCAACTGTGGAGACATGACAGTTGTCTCCTAAGGAGACATGACAACTAAAGGTAATGTGGTATCCTGGGATAAAAAAAAAATTTCGGTAAAACCAAGGCAATCTGCATAAACTATGGCTTAGTTGTTAATAATAGGGGAAACTGCACAAAGGGCACAAGGGAACTCTGTACCATCCTCTCAATTCTTCTGTGAATCTAAAACACAAAGTGTATTATTTTTCAAGAAAAGATGTGTTTAATCAGGCTCTAGAGTCAGATTGCTGGTATTCAAATACTGGCCTTCACAACTGTCAGATATCTTTGAGCAAATTATCAAAGTTTTATAGTTCTGCGTTTTTCATCTAAAACTGGGGTAACAATATTATCTACTTTACAGATTTTTCTGTAGGGACTAAACCAGGTAAGACATGTAAATCACAGATACCTAACAAATATTCTATAATAACAGCTGTTAGAATTATCATTTTTACGGAGGGTACTGTTTCAGCCACAACAATAGCTGATAACACCTACTCACCATACATAACCATTAAATCTGGTAAACTCTATGTAAAAATGTTGTTTGCCGATCTAAGACAGTAACCAGTGCATATCTACAGTCCTTGAAAGCAGAGACCATTCATCTCAGATGTCTTGTTGAGAGAATTTTTCGAAACTATAAAGAAGAGAAATAGAGTCCAAGTGAATGATGGTCTCTCTGGATATAAAAGACAGAGATTACAATTTAAAGTTGACAAAGGTGGCTCAGATTGCGCGAAAAACATCCCTGCGACGGGAGAGTTGCAAAGAAGTCCTAAAATTCTGCTGAAAATTCCCCTTATTTGGCCAGTTCCTAATCGGCACTTGCACAGGTAGACTCCATGGGGCCTAGCAGAGAATAATTTCTGGGAAGCTGGAGCAATGAGCAGAGATTTTAGAAGCTGCACTGCACTTAGAAGATTAGATGTGAGGTAGGCTGGAACAAGAAGACCTTGGTGAAGACCATGCCTATAACCTAGGAATAAAGACAAAACTGAACTAGAACTGCCCTAACAAAGCTTTACAAGATCCAGAAGAGCCAGTTGATTCCCCAGTAACACACATGCTTGCCAGAACAAATTTTAATATTCTTTGGAGGAAGCTAAAATAAACTAGAGCTTTTATAATGCTTTGTAAGTAACAGATGGCATACAATAAAATATTACTTGACAAGTAAAGAACACAAAGCAGCAAAAATAAATAAATAAATAAATAAATAAATAAATAAATAGACTACCCATAAACAAGAGCAAAAAAAAATCAATTTAAACAGACCCAGAAATGATCCATATATTGGAATTAC